TCCCTTCCACATATCGAAGGACGATATTCTGTCATCAATTGCCTGCCACTTCGGGATAGTATGATCTGAGTACCTAGTGTACAGAAGCTGGGACCCCAAAATCATCAAGGCCGCTTGAAACCCGGGATCTCGATGGATCCTTGTCAAGCAAATATGGACACATGCACGACGGCGGTTCAAAGCAGCATGCACATGTCAAACCCCCGATTCATTCGCATTCGATTCATTACATAGATAAAACCGGCATTTATAATACTCTTTTCAACAGCCGGTACGAGCCTTCTTATGTTTATACTCTTCAACGGCAGTTTCTATCTACACCAACACTGGTACAAACCTATGTATCTGCTGGAATCAGCTTATATATGAGGCCACACCGAGAAAGGAGCGAGAAAAGAAAGGAAAGCTCCCATCATCCGCCGGCAACCGATTCCGACCCTGACCTGTTTCCAATGACTATCGATTTATCCTCCAGCTGTCCGGTCGACTCCGGCCTCTTCACCGCGCCCTGTCTGTAGCAGCGGGTCCGCTCTTAGGATACGGACACTGGCGACTGGACAGGACAGCGCCCTTTGAGCTCGAAGCCCATTATTTCTCCGTTTGTCCAGATTCCGCTCCCACTGCTGTCTCCATACTCACTTTAGCCCTGACTGCGTCACCGAGTCTATGCTTCAGGTACCGAACTCTACCGTTATGAAATCCACAGACAGACACGCGCATTTCCCATGCACCGGTTCCGTCCTCGTGACCGGCCCGGTCCCGTGTATTCTGCAACTGCAATTCACATGCCGTCGCTGAATCATACAAGCTTCAGGATGCGGTATATACTATCTTTACAGGAACCCCTAAGGTAGGTAATTGGCCGCAGAAACGTCGATTGGTTTATGAGAGTGGTCATCCGAACATTTCAAACTGAAATTACCAAAATGTGGGGGGCTTCAAACACTGGTGATAGTCACACCAAAAGAAACACAGTATGCGAGGGAATCGTTAAGTCAATTATCATGACGCCTTTAACCAAATTACATACTGGAGCCTCCCGTTTTTTGCAACTTCATTTTGCAATTCCATAGGACATGGAGCTTCTTGCTTCCGAACGCCAACGCCTGTATGATGCAAGTGCAAAGGCATATGTCAATGCCGACCAAGATCCGAGATATCCCCTTACCAAGATCTCTGCATGTGGCGCATTTCAGCTCAATCTGTGATCCTGCATATCTGCGAAATTAGGGTAAAATCCATCTCATCAGCGTATTCATCTCTTGCCTCGGGGCAAGAATGACCTCGGGGCAAGAGTGCATAGGAAGCTGAGCAGTTAGAATCTGCCAACCTATGCTTTGTCGTGGACCTTCTCGGAGGGTGTGTCCGCGAGTTCTTCGTACCGATTCATGACATTCTCCTCCACGGTCTCATGGAATACATCCACCTCAGTAGACGCGAACTTCCTTGCACTGATACCTCGCTCAAAAAGCACGTCGAGTTCCGCAAATGTGCGCCCGCTTGGTTCTGGTAGGCGGAAGAAGGTGTAGATGATACACAAGAAGCAAATACCGCCCTATTGTTCTCGTTAGCGACGAGGCGTATGTGTTACGGAGTGGTGGAGTGGCTCTTACCCAGAAGAATCCAGCATAATTACCCCAGTCCCAGGCTGTGGGGTTGAGCATATAAGGAGTCAAAACGCTGTTGATAATGCCCACGACGTTGCTGTTGTCAAATGTGGTTAGCTCTCAGTAACAACAGTTCGGCCATGGCTCAAACGCCAACCGAGGACAGCGTCCCCCGGCTTTAACAACATTCGTGACTTACTAGAGGTTACGGCCAAGAACAACTGTCTTGATCTGCAAACGCCGGGATGACAATTCTCCCACAAGAGAATAGCATACAGTTCCAATGGTTAATTGGTAGAACAGCGCCCATACAATCATCATACAGCCTGTGGCGAGCGATGACTGGCTTCGATGAGCCTCAGGCACTAGACCAAGGAAACCCATGATGAGCAACATGGAACAAAGACCGCAGAGACCATAGAGAACTAAGGATCGTCTGCCAATGCCCAAAGTCATAAGACCCCAAGCACCAAAAACTCCGGCCATATTGATGCCGTACTGGCCCAGGGCAAATGAATATGCCTTGTCGGCTGATAGTCCAGCCTGCTCAAGGAAGTAGGTGGAATAGTTGGAGAATGAATTGCCGCTCAGGTTCTGAATGGCCCAGATCATGCACACGATCTCGGTACGGCGAAGGTCGGTGCCCTTAAAGCAGTCCCAGTAACTTGCACCAGATGTGATCTTTTCTTCAAGGGCAGTTGTATGTACCATCATGGCGATAGTTTCGTCGGCGTCAAAGTCAGTCTCGCGGTCGAGACTAGTCAAGCGAAGCAATGCCTCCTTAGCATCCTGGGTACGACCTCTTCGGACCAGCCACCAAGGCGACTCGGGCGCAAAAGAGATACCAATGAGGAGTGGCAAGGGCCACATCCACTGGAGAGCATATGGAATGCGGTACGCCCATTCATCGTCGCGCTTGAGCATGGCGTGAATGACGCCTATGCCGATCTCCTGGCCAAGGCCCCAGCAGAAGTTGACATACGTCGTCAAGTACCCACGCAGAGCAACTGGACAAACCTCAGATGCATAGGTGATGGTTAATGTTTGGAAGATACCCCACGGGATACCACACAGTATCTCGGCAACAAGCAGGGTCTGGACGTTTTGGGCGGTAAAGAAGATGGTTGTGAAGCCAGCGACACAGACAAGGCAGGCCATGACAGTGTAACGGTAACCAAATCGTTCAGAGATCCAGCCGTTGATGAAAAGACCAATGATCTCACCACAATGGGCTCCCTATGAATTGATGATGAGCGAGTACACCGAGGACTTGTGGGCAGATGACTTACGTTACTCAGACCAGCTTGCCACGCAGCTGGTACTTGGTATTCCCCATCATCACCAAGAACGCCATACTTCTTGTTGAACTGCGGGAAGGCATCTGGTAGTAAGTGTTAGCGAGATGTAACTATGGTTTCGCTCGGTGCCAATGGTGACACCGCACACCAGGTATCTAATTGCAGTCACACGCGAATGGCCAAGGGGTTGGTCAACACATACAAAAGTTGTTGACGAGAGATATGTCATAGCCCTCCATTACAATGCATGTGGAGATGAGGATACTCCAGAAAATGGCCTTGGGATAGAGCTTGATGCCCTGGCGGAGGGTCATGGTGCGCTCCTTGTGGGCAGCTGAACGGGCATGCTCGACGATGTTGATATGCGTCTTAATGGGGTCGGTGTTATCCTCAGCGGCCGATTCCATGGCGGCCGTGTTTTCGGGGGTGTCCTTCGGAGGCGGGGCCGGTGCCGGGGCCGGCGTCACCATGTCTTGTTCGTCCGCCATGACTTCAACTTCCTGAGCCTGGTCGTGAAGATGGCTTATAAACAAATCAACGCCTGGCTTACAACGCTGAAGACAACTGTTTGAAAGCACAGCAACGGACGGAGGAGGGCCAAGCAATATGATCAAGACCTGCCCAAATACAGTTGATGTAGTGGTGGAGGAGCAATGTCGAACGAAGTCATACAAACATGAAATTCCACTTGTGTAGGAAAGGTGACACTTCAGATGGACCACAATGAGACACAACAAAACAACAGAAGATCCGTGGGCAACAGCGATGATAGCCACTCTTTACTCACACACGACCTGCAACTGTACGTAGCAGAAACAGAGAACGAGCAGAGCAGAGCAGAGCAGACAGAGAGAGAACACAGGAAGAGAGAAAGTCTGATGGAGTCCGAAAGGGACCTTTTTTCCAGGTAAAAATGGATCCAAAGGTCAACAACTTTTATTCTAGGGGCGGATGGTCGGATCAAAGCGGGACGAGCCATGCCAGACCAAGTATGGCAGAGCCATTGAATAATGGAGTGCGACTCGAGAGTCTGGAGCTCGCAATTTCTCCCTGTGGTCGTTGCATTTGCTAACAGATTGTCAGGGAACTTGTGAGGCCACAGGCCAATGGCGCCTGTTGAGGAACATCATCTCCCAAGCCCAACCTTGCTATTTTCAAGTGGGCCGGCCGATTGCTCTTTAATTATTAACCGCAGGAAGAAACCTCACGGTTCATTGAGATGTCGAAAGAAGCATGGTCGAGCCATGAGACCACTCACTCACTATACATGCTGCCACAGTTGCGGCCTTGTATGCACTACCTTGCTTCATTCAAACAGAACGTTGGTCATTGTTGGCATTCAAGCTTATCTTTTCCAAAGTTATCAAGGGTGCGGAGCCTCAACTTGGCTAACCTACTTGACTCCAATGCCCAGAAGCTAGAACAATCGGCAGCCATTTAGCACCGCTAAAACTTGCGAACCCCTGGAAGTACCAGGATAATTGGGGAACTCTTTCAACGTCCGTGGTAGGGCCGACAAACCTTGACCGTTCATTTCATCCCTCGAGGGCGAATTCTGCCGATTTTCTTGAGTACCGTGGAATACACCAAAGCTGTATTGTCAAAGCATGATTCAAGGCCAAGCAATGGCTATTACTAACCTATATATATATACACCAGCTTCAATTCGTGATATTGGGGTTACTCTAAAACACCAAAAGAAAACACTCCTCGACCCCAACTGATACTGCAGTCTTGAGGTCCTTGAGATCAGCTACGATGCGACAATGCCAAGACTTCAAAATTCAGGCATTGGCAATCTATAGCGAAACACAGTTGGTTGATCTTGAAACTTATCATACACATGCCAAAGTGGGACTGCTCTCAGCCACTATGTACCTGATCACGATAGCTCGTGCGGGGGCTGTAGTTGATCTCGGTATGTAAAGTTGCCAGCCGTCTGGGGAAGAGGCGGGGACTTGCGTGGGAATTGTCTGTGTTTTCTTACGTTATGAGTCAGGTTTGTGTTGCAGTTACTGGGTAGTGTTGTGGTGTGGTGATGCAGCTCTTGTGTACAACACTACTCATGCCAATCAATATGCCATTCTTCGTCTGACTATTGACCTCCATTCTTTTTCCACGCATCTCTCCACCACTCCTTTAACCCATATGCTTTCTCCTGTGCTTCGACGTGGACCTTGACGTCGCCGCCTCCAGTCAGCTTCTCTAACAAACCCGTCTGTTTGCCCGCCTGGCCCCCGCCTCCCAGACTCCTCGCTTTTCCGCCCGTAGCACGCTCCTGAATCTCTCGAGCCACTGTAGGCGCAACTTCGGCAAAACAGGCTTTAAGTTCTCGCTCGAGTGAAAAGTACGGCTTCTTTGCTAGATCCGGCGCCATCAGGTTATAGCTTCGTGTCAGGGCATTGAGACGCTCAATCGACAGCTTGAGATATGCCGCTTCGGTTTGCTCCCACGCTGAATCTCGAAACGGTCGCCCAACAACCGGCGAGGCAGCCTTGATCTCTTCCACCTGTCCATCAGCGTTCTTCCGTATGATTGGGTTGTGCACCTCTTCTGCTGCAGCGTATTCTTCTGCTCTGCTAATCTGCTCCTGCAACGATCCTCCCCGTGAAGCAATCATCCTCGCTGCAAAGCGTCGCCAGTCATTCCGTAGTCGAGCTCTAAAGATGCCTAGCTCTTTGGCAAGCTCCTGCTGTTTCTCTATCCAGGGTGGAACAATATCCTGTCTTTGAATCATTTTGTTCATGATATACTCCGTCGTGTCGATAAAGGGGTTATCAGCGCGAGTATCACGCTCGACTCCCTTTCCTCGGGGAATATTCTTGAACTGTCCTCTTGCAATAGCGTTCTCGATGCGTTCATTCGCCAGTGCTGCAAGACCCGTGATGGAGTTTGGCAACGCTCGGGCTCCAGGCTCGAACCTCTCCCTCAACTCTTTTCTCCAAGCCTCTTTTTCATCTTCACTCATACCATTTTTGGCTTGTTGGCCACCCATTCCGACATAGGTGTCCACCTTGTCCCTCGCTTTGGCTACTTTCTCTCCAGCTGATCGCCTCGGTTGCTTCTGTAGTCGCATATCAACCGGGGGAGGTTGAAACTTGCCCCTTAGGCCTGGTGCGAGTGGTTTCTTTGCATCATCGAGCATTCGAAGCACCGTATCTGCAGTGCTCTCTTCTCCTGTCCACGCCTGCGCGGAGGCGATGTGCCGTGTTCCCTCGGCTGCTGTTGACGAGAGACTGGCCTCGGCAAAGGCGCGGGCATTTTCAGACTTAAAAGTCGCGTCTGCAATTTTGTTCAACAGTCTTTCCTTGAGCTCTTCCGAGAAACCGGCATCCTCAACGGCCCTACGTCCGGCTCTTCCACCGGTAAAGAGGGCTTCCTCTGTAGCTTCTTCCAACCGTCGAGCCAAAGGCCCAAGTTCCTTCTCGACTGTATTCCCATCACTCTCTTGTTCGACTTTCTTTGCAGTTTTGTCTTGTTGTTTATCTTCCGCCTTGGATGCACCGGCTTGCGTTGAATATTGAGCTGGTGGCAATGTTCTGGGTCGACGAGTGACTTGTAGGCAACGCCGACATACAAAGGGCACACGGCGCATAGGCACAGACATTTCGTAAGCTTGAAGATCTATAAGAGACTTAATTGAAGTCCAGTACGAAATCGGGAATGTTGAAAAAGGATGGCCTTGTATGAAATTGTGATGACGGCAATGAAGTTGATCAGTTGATATTAGTCAGCCAGCCACCCTATACTGTCATCGCCACTTCAGTCATCAACATATTATAAATTTGACTTGGAATAACTATCTCTAGTAAAGTCCTTTATCTTTAAGAAAGTATCTGAAGGTGCTCATACTATGGAATAGTTCGAATTGTCCTGCCGTGTAAAGACTCCGCCAGATATCGGCACCAAAAATGACCTTCTAACCTGGACTCACCACCAACTCAGGCTCAGCCTAGAAAAAATGATTGAAGGCAATAGCGAGTAAAAGGGCAAACACAGAGCTAACTGGCGGCCTCGTATGAAACGCAAAGTCTTCTTCGTCTCCTTGGTTCCCTTGACCGTGAGGATCATTCCTCGGTTCTCCATCGGGAGTGTTTGCCCTTACAATCCAAGTACTGCTGCTATTGCCATGAAGTTCACCACTCGCAAGATTAACTGTGGCTGTTGAACCGAGAATTTTACCACTTTTACTTACACCAACAGCCCGTGCGGATCTAGGAAGTGGCAATGTTTCCAATAGGATTTCTGTTTCAAAGCCAAATCTAGATGAATTTGCGAGGAGTCTTGGAGAAGAAGTGGCGTTCTTGTCATCTTCACCAACGTACTACTGAAGAGTCAGTAACAGTCACAAGTAAGGGGTATGTCTGAACGTACCACTTCCCATCGGTAAACCTGAGTATCGCCGTTCCAGGACACGTAGATGGTAGCATTTGTCGCCTCGTTCCCTGGAAGCGCGGAAGCGATGGAAGGACCCCATGGAGGTCGGCCAATCCATTCCATCTTCCACGCGCGATACACAGACATGTCAAGATCGGGATCACCGTCAGTCACATGGGGGATAACTCCTCGCTGGATGTCCATGACAACCGTGCCATTGGATGAATGCTCTGTAATCCCTGGGTTCGCCCCCCAGCCGATAAGGAAGTTGCCATTGTCAAGGCCCTGGACGCTGCCCCCTGAACCCGAGGAGATCTTCTGAGGATGATAAAATTCATGTAAAAGCCTGACTGTCATTTCCTCATAGTCAAGTTCCACAACAACACCACGAGAACAATTTTCTCCGCTACATGATCCGCTTGTGGTGGCTCGGTTATCGAAGAAACTGATTTGACTCTCATTGCCTTGGACAAACTTTGCGTCATATTGATTTGCGAAGTTGGTTGCGTTGCCGCCACTGAGGTCCTTGAATTGGTTGCGCTTTCCCCCGAGGACCCATCGTGGGTTCAGGCTATCCGCCTGGAGGAGGATGATCGCCGATAGACTCCTTGATGAAACCAGGTAATGACCTTTCGAGGCCTGTTCCTGATCAGCACCTGAACGGCTGAGAAGCCAAGAAGGGGACTCATACCTTCGAAACGCTGTCTATGTGAAACCAGTCGAAGCCATCACCATGCATGAACGTCTTTTTGGGACTGTAGTTGACCATGGTGTCGGTCAGGTTGACATGTGTGAAGGACCTCCACACGTTGGTAACCCTGTTGGTTTCGAGCTCGACTTCTTGAAAGATGGAATCGCTCAGCCAACCATCCATTTCACCCCCAAGAGCAGTCAAGTTGTATCTGACATCCTGGACAGCGGTCATCAGGGCCGTGCCCCCCTGAGTTGTGAACTCGAACTCATGGATACTGCCCTGTGTAGTCCCCAGGTCCTCGATCTCGACTGTCCATTTCTTCTGGTAGTTGGCATCAAAGGCATGACAGCGGCCGCCCTCAATGAAAGTGAGATACTTGCCTCCGCTCTTCACTTGAGCACGAGCATCAAATGTTTTGGCGTATGAGATGTCAGCATATACAAGGCTGAGATCTTGGCTGGAGAAGATAGCAGGCCCCGATTTGTCGCCATGTTCCATTGTTAAGAAGAGAAACCCCGAATCATCAACAAGATTGGGGTTGAAGGTACTGATTTGGAAGACAGGGGCTATTACATCCGAGGACTTGAATTCCTGTGAGGGAAATTGACCGAGGAATCCCTTATTGTATGCCTTCAAGTCATTCACAGGAGTGTCATCTGCGAGAGATAGAGTAGCTAACGAAGCAAGCGTCGCGACTTGCACCAAAAACGAAAGCATTTTTTAGGAGGCAGAAAGAGATAAGTTAGAGAGGAGTTGCGAACAACGAAGCAAATGACGAGAGTTCCAAGAAAACTCCAAAAGTGCTCCAAAGACGAGATTTCGAGAGAGTGTAGAAGGACAGAGGATCGATCGTTGATATTTGTCGGTGTAGGACGGGAGTTTCAAATGCCTCTCACAAGAAACGATGGAGTGAAGACGACATGAGATTTGCCGTTACCCCAAGGTAGTTGCACTGAACAGTTTTGTGCCTGCCTTTTCTGAGATGTGCAACTGTAGCCTGAATATGAGAGGCAGGCAAGAGGCAAGACTTTTCCACGACTTCCTTCCTGTCACATCTAGATGAAAGGAAGGAACACTGAGGGAAGTACCCAAGGTACTTGTCAGTCATAAAGCATCCCTTCCATACTTAGGTAGGTACGCCGGACCCCAGACACCGCTGCAATAATAGAATGATTCGTTCCTTAGGTATTGTACGCTCTGTTATATCTCTGATGCTTGGTCTAGGTACCTAGGTAGGTATGACTGAGACTCTTATCGTCCATAATTATATACAAACAATAACAACAACAAAAAAGCCACAAGTGTGCCTGTGTCCCTCACATATAGCCCCGCAACGCCATTAATAAATTTTGTGCTCCTCCCTTTTGTTTTGTCCATGGCCTAGGCTCCTATTTCCGAGGGCCTACGGCTCGCACCGATGTCTACTATATATATCCAATCCCAATCCAAACACCTCATGCCATGGTGTATCAGTTTGCTCCTTTTCCGTTGGTCGTATCCAGTCATTCATAAAACAACAACAGCGAATGATATCCTATATTCGCCCCCCTTCAAGAACTTCTCGTTCGAGGATCTCAATTTGGCCAGATTCCCCGGTGCGTCGTCGTTCCATGACCCAGCGCGTAGCTCCACTATCTTCCTCTTTGACGTATGATATACTATCAGCTGACCCTTTGTGTCGATGACCCATACCCGGACGCTTTGGAGCTGAGCCTGACTCAACCATGCTGGCCCTGTTCGAAGTCTCCAGAGGGCTCACCATTGCCGACGCAGGCATGCTCTCAGCATCGGATATCGGAGAGATAGGATTGTCAAAAGACTTTGATTGGGGCCTGCTAGTATTTAGAGGCGCTACCGGGACATCCCCCCTAACGTTGGTGTCGAGTTTGGCCAGTGTCGTCGGGACAGGTGGAGGAGACAAAGTCAAACCGGGAATGCCACCTGTCAAGGTCGGGCTTCCTGACGCGCTCACACTGTCCGAGTCATGGCTAATGGTGGACAAGACCGAATTCTTTCGAGTATGGAAGGTCGTTGGGCTCATAATACTCTGACCCCATGGTGAGCTTGATAAGTCGCCCCTTTCTGACCGAGGGGACCCATTCTGGCTAGACACAAGACTGGCTTGAGAGCCACCCCAAGCTCTGGATCGTAAACGGAGTAGGGCAGACAATGTCATCTCGTCGCCGCGATCACCCATTAGAGCAAGCTGGGCTAGACCAGGACTCTGCAGTGGTGTTCCGCTAAAGCCAGGCATGCCAAGACTCATGAACGAGTTTCTGTTGGAGTACTCCGACCGCTCTGTGATAGGTGTCAAGTTCGGCTCCCTTGAAATCATGCGCCCACTTGTGCTTCGGTCCAAGCCATTCTTGGGTCCGAAGAAGCCACCATTAGCATACTCAAACTCGGGTTCTTGTTGTTGGCCAGCTGGGGCTGAGTAGAAATTGAATTCCTGGCCATACCACCCATCGCAGTCATTAGCCAGGGCGCTTGCGTTGGCCTCAGCAATAATAGCATCGTCATCGAGCTCGAAATCGGCCATGTCTTCATACGAATCGTTGTAGCCACCGTAATCATCAAAGCTCTCATAGTCGTCCTGCCTAAAAGAGTTATCGCGGTCTGGTGTATCAGGCGACTGGCTTGGCTCAGACAGAATGTTTTCATCAGCCGTTGGCGAAGAACTCCGTTGAAATTTGCCCGATGCTGCTGCCTTGTAAGTTGCGGCAGCGAGAGCAGCCTGGTAAGCCGCCATGGTATCACTGGTAGGAGGTGATGATGAAGGGACCATAGCTGAGGGGCCATGAGGTGATTGAGGTTTGGGACTGTCGTGGATAGCCTCAGGTTCGACAGGTTGCTTTTCCTCAACACTGAGTGATGTATGGGCCGTAGTCTTGGACGTCTCTGAACCCGCAGAGAATGGGGCTGTCATATCCGACGATCGATTCGGTTCATCTTGATTCCCGGATCGTTGCAATGCATTCGCAAATGCCCCTGCGATCGGTCGACCGAATTGATCGGTATCATTGTTGTCAAATATCGACTCGTCAAAAGGGGCATCATCCCATTCTGGAGGGGCAGCAAGATCCTCAGCAAACTCGTTCTTCTCGAATTCCAGCATCCCATCATCATAATAGAGCTCGTCATCATTTAATTGGCGCCCTGCGTCAATTGGTGGCAAGTCTTGGTTCTTCTGGAATGCAGCCTCATTCTCCAGACTGGGCACTCTCGGAACGTCTAGTCCTTGGATCCCCAGTCCGCCTGCCTGCATCTCTTGATTCAGTTGTTGGTCGAGGGGGAGGTTGGGAGACAATTCTCCGAGGATATTCGGCGTGTATTGACTCATGGCATATCCGATCCGATTGCCTTCTGCATCCCTCGGGGTTGGCAAGAAGCCTGCGCTGCGTGGGCTCGTCAACGACGATGTAGGGCCCGATCGTTGAAAGACGAAGCCAGAGAAGTTCTCTTGGTCGTTGTCTGGATCAAGCTCATCGTCTTGATCGTCGACCACCTTTCTGCCCAGCGTATTGTGTAGGTTGTTGTCGAGATGCCCGCCCATGGGGTCGTTCAGCGTATTGTTCATGTTATTATCCACATGGTTGTCTATGTGGTCATTGAATTCATCGTTGAATCCGCCGTCGTTCATATCATCATAGTCATCACCGACCATAGGAATATCTTCCTCAAAACCATCGTCTTCCATCATTGCATCGTAATCGAAACCATCGTCATCAAAATCATAAAAACGCGAGTCTCGAGCTGCAGCGGGTTCAGCCGTCTTCTTCTCGAGCTCTCGTTGTCGATGCCTGTCCTCAAGAAGCTTCTCTTGTTTGGCAGCGCCAATCATGTCAAAGCTAAACCTTGACGAGGTACTCTTCATATGTCGAGGGATCGCAGAAGGGATGTCTTTGCCCGACAATCCAGATAGTGAGGGACCTCTCGATCTACCAGCCCGAGGTGAAGTGGATCTCTCATGGATGTATGCTTCTTCATCGATCAACCGTGATGCTTGAGGCGACCTTGGCTGAACCGAGATGGGAGCGTTATCCTTGGGAGGTACGGGAGGCGCATCTGACAAGGCGAGGTCAGCCATCTCTGCTGCAGGGATTTGAGCAGCAGTAGATGCTGTGCTTGGCGTCATCTTGAGGGCCCTGGAGTCTTGGGAGTAAATAGACTCGGAAGCATTACTAGGCTCTCGCTGGGTTAAAGGAGTGGCCGAGAGAGGAGTCTCATCTGTCTGACTGACAGCTGGGTTCAGAAACCTCTCTTGGGTGGGAAGGGGAGCGGAATTAGGGACCGGCGAGGCGAAGGAAGGCTGCATTGTTTCCCTGTTTGGGGTGTTCCTCTTGGGCCGCGGGGCACTGAAATCATGGACTCGAGTTCCCATGATACGAGGGTCATATATCGGATCCTCGCCGCGCCGAGCTAAGGGTAATGGACGCAAGTCAGGAGCATGCTGACTGTTCTTGCGCCTCATTAATAAGGTCGACATTGGCTTTTTGAGAAAAGGTAGTCCTTTTTTGGGCTTGGGAATTTCGGTGTTGCTTGTTGTCTGTGTAAGCGAGGGGAGTTCCGTAACCAGTCGGGTACCTGCAGGACGGCGACCGGTAGGTGCAGCAGCTGAGTGCTGAAGATCTGTAGGTGTACTGAAAGAGGATGCAGCTTTTGTATTCCTCAAAACTTGCGGCGATGGTCGCAAAGGAGCGCTGTTTGAGGTCAATGACGGTTGAGATGCTGAATGTTGTCCATGTAGACTAGGTCCTTTTCCGTTGTCCCCAGTTTCAAGAGCCTGAGCCTCCAGGTCTCGCTGATATTTTCTAAGAGCGACACCACCTATGAATGATCCCTTGTTAAATGAGCTTTTGGAGTTCGGGTGCGGTCGGGCAGAATCTAGTGGGCTCGTGGCAGCATTTTGGCGACTATCTCGTGATTTCCCAAGGTCCTCGGTGGTAACACGGGCTATGGGTGGTAGAGTGGGAGGCAATGCAGAAGGATTCGACGAGGTCGGTCGCAGTTCTGGAGAGAGTGCATCGGGAGAGAAAGGCACAGTGGGTGTAGGCGAAGTAGGATTGTTATCGGGAGAAGGCGAGGCAGGATTCGAGGGCCCTCGCCTGTGGAACCTCAGATGGGATAGCATACCGAAGAACCGGCTGAGGTCTGCGTCAAGGAGAGTGAATCAAAATGTCGACGGCGGCTGGGTGGGGGGAGCGCGGAAGCGGTCGAGCTTGCGCAAGGGAACCGATACGTAGTGAGAAAAGGGCAGCGCATCCGTGAGGCAGCACCCGATGGTGTAGTGTAGGGCGAAGCAAACAGTAGGCGAAGGAGGCGATCGAGACGCGATCATGGCATGACTCAAGGGGTCGCAGTCGCAAGAGACAACGTAAACATAGTGGTCGATCGATAGTGTGCCTTGTTTGGGGTTTGGCTTTGGGCGTGAGAAGAGCCGGGTATCGATAGCGGGCAGCAAGGGAGCGTAAGCTTGTTTCTGGATGCGCAGCGCAAAGCAAGGCAGCGATAGCCGAAGTATGTTCTTTTTCGGGTGAGGCTGGTGCTGATGCAGAGAGGCTCGGAGAATTCGGTGATATAGTCGATGTAGATTGCCGCGATGGAAATGATGGGATGAGATGTTGTTGGGAGGAGGCTGAGGAGATAAAAATGACAACCTGACTAACTTAATGGACTTGACCCCGATGCGTGGTTGGTGACGGATTTACAGTTTCAAG